TGGGGCGGACGTGAGTACTATAAGTATGCTTCTGTGTTTTCGGACAAATTCGATAAAATCGAAAAAATACTTCCGGTAAAATATTTTAATATTTATATTTACCCAAAAAACTCAGATTTTTCAGGACCGCCAACTGCTATGAATCCTACTGGTCTTAATATTTTCCAGGGATCTTCGAACAAGTTTTGCTCTACTTCTCTATATCTAATATTTATTTATTTATTTGAAAAAACTGCAGGCCTTTTTCAGGCCCTCGCAGTATCAACTTTCATTTGTATGATCACAAAGAACTTCCATTTAGCTTCTATTTTAAAAAAGGGGAATCGTCGAACACGTTTCTCATTGAAAAGGATACTTTTACTAAATTCACAAACTGCTGTTTTCAACCTTTTGTTCACTTCACCGAAAAAGCCGAAAAACTCTGTACGATGAAAGAAAGCTCCAAAGAACTCCGAATTTATGGTAAAAAATAAGCACTAAACAACACTCCGCAATTTTAAGCAGAAATATACTCCGAAAACGCAGAATCCTAATTATAAGCTGGATTTCGTATATGTTGGTGCAGCTTTTAGATTTCGTTATAACTTATAGGTAGGGTTCCGTATTTTTGTGTATTCTTTTTTAAATTTAAGGGTTCTTTGGGTGTTCATTTTTTCAAAGTTCTCTGTTTTCGGTATCTATTTCTGGTGTCGACCAGAAATCAGGGTTTATCAGGGCTTACGTCGTAAAAGCTATTGCACATCTATCACGTTTTTACAACACACAATGCTATTCGCGCCAGTTATCACTAAGTGGCCCATGCAGAAACAATAATTACAGCAGAAGGAAGCAGCCTCGCGGAAGAGGGCGGTTTGTTTTCGGGGTCAACAGAAATAAAGCAATTTTTCCAGTTAACCTGGGGTTTCATTTAATTCAAAAATTTCAGTTCGGAGTTTTTCAGTTTTACCAATTTCAAGAAAAATCCCAAGAAAAAAGGAAGCCAGACATCAGCACAGCGAGTGGTCATACCAAAGAGAATATTTCGCTCCTGATGACTTCAGCGGAGGCAGTGTAGCGATACGATGGTTGTGGAGTTCATGAAAGCCTAATTTAGGCAACACAAAATATGGATCCTTTTTGTTGTAGTTTACTCGACACACTCGCCAATCTGCAAACAACTTTTCAAAAATATCGCATATGTATTATCGGGTAGTTTTTCGAATACTTGTTCGGAATTCTTCCGCAGATCTGACTTTTTTGCTTCCATATCGCTAGATATGAAAACGCGGAATAATAGTGTTATCGACTTTTTGCAACCGGGAGGCGCTGATACGGCGTGCTCGTCCGCTCTTTGCGCCCGTCTTGCGTTTGTTTGCCTCAAAATGCGCTCACAGGCTGCTTTTACACTCTCCCCCACCACACGCACACACACACGCGCGCGCGTTCACACGCACACCCGCACGCACGGACGCACGCACACACTGACACACACAAACAACCCGTCTCGTCGAATTAACCACCAACACTGGCGCGGGTTTTACTGCCGCGTCAGCACGCTCTCTGCGTGTCCTTTGTGCTGTCCATCAATTGATCTTCCCCCTTTGTGTAGTACTGTTTGAGAAGCTCTGATAACGTAGCTCTATTTTCTATTTTTCACAATTTTATTCATTGCACGCGGAACGCATTTCGGTTTGGCGGGAATTTGCACACGACGTAAAAGTTAAAGGTGAATACGCCACGTGTCGGTAAATAAGTGAACTAGAACAGCTTGTCACAAATTTCTGGCCATGATAGTAACCCTGGAGTGAGAAGACAAAAAAGTGGACGTCAGGAAGTCGCATACTTCAAAACGTTAACTTAATCCGCCATGGCGCCAGTCAGTCAAGACGTCACTTTCTTAAAAAAATAGCCGAATGCACGCGGCTTGGCTTCAGCAAATGACAGCATCACGTGAGTCTCGTGAACTCACAGGACGCCTTATTGTTTAACGGCTGATCTGATTCAGCGCCACGCACATGTACAACAAACTGGCCGACGCATCTTTCGAATACGAGCACGTTGAAAATGCTGGGCAATGGCAATTTTTTATTATTCCGACCCCTTCTACGACACGTCGCTTTTTTGCATTGGTGCATTGCGATTTATAGTTTGTTGGATTAATCCAAATTAACGAAACTTTTACCGGCGGGTGTTTTTCGTAGTTTTTAGGACTTACCGGAGACCACGGAACCCTACTTAAGAGGATTGTGTCGTATTTTATATGGACTGTGTCGTTGTCATCTGCAGGTAATGGGCTGCTGGCATTTATAGTTTCTGTGTGGTTGTCAATTATAGTTTTTGCGTCTTTGTCAGTTATATAAGTGTGCCGTTGTCACCTAAGGAAATAACATTGTCCCATATGGGTGCTCATATGAATTATGCCGTTCTTACAGGAATGATGCGCTTTGCCGACTCACATGTGCTTGATGGGTAAAGTGAGTTTATATTTGGTATCAGTATAAAAAAAGTCACAGCACTCTCAAAGCATAGAGCCGGGGTCGCACTGCTCACACATCATACAAAAGACCGTCTGCAAATGCGAGCCACCGCAATATCCGTAGTTGGAATGCCGCGTGCTAAGTTGTCTCCTCGAACTCATTGGCATGAGTGCATTCGAAGCATGGATCTCGCGGTGACTCGCGTTCGAATCTGTATTGTTAAAGACTGCTTTTTGTAGGATATATAAGCAGTGTAACTTCGGCTAACGAGACACACGAAAGAGACACACAAGAAAAGCGTAGGGCCAGAGTGAATTCGCTGCTTAATTTAATGGGACGCACAGGAAGAAGACGAACGCCGCGACGTGAAAAGAGTCAAGGTACAGGCTAGCTGGTGGAAGTCAACCATTTCGTCGTTTACCCTGAGACTGGGTTTTTTTAGAAGAGCAGAAGAGACCGGTCTGTTTTTTCTGTTACTTCTGCTCTTCTAAAAACCCCCCAGTCTCAGGGTAAACGACGAAATGCCCGCGATGTCTCGTTTTCTGGGGTGGCTTCATTGACCTCGTTGACTCATGGCATCGGCTGCACTCTCAGTTATGGGAAAACAAAGTGTATTTTATGGCCCTAATGCACGGTTTTCAGGAGCACTGCCCACTTGGTTGTGCTTGGAGATAAAAATAACTATACCTCACGTTTTAGGACGTATATGGAGTCTTGCGATATGCTACCGAGACGTTCCGCTCTCGACGGAAAAAACACAGCGCATCGTGGCGTCGCTTTGGGCTAAGATCAGACGAGCGGATTATGCCAAAGACGTCCCACAAACCGCCGTCTTGCCGAGACCTAGAAAAATGTCGGTTAGGTAGTCCAAGATCTTTTCGTTTATGTGTGTGTGTGTTTTTCTACACTTATAAACACTATGCAGATATATATTTTTATTGCCCCGAGAATTCCACCGAATGCGCATTTTGGTAAAGAGCTGAGCCACAGTGCGCATTACCATCGCCCGGGCTGGAGCGGAGCCTACGCGTGCTAGGTCAAAGCCTTGGCTGACACTGCTTTCGCCAGCTAGTTTGTGCAGAGTTCCCACTCCTATTAAAGCTGAGACGTTTCGGTGGCGCCCACTCATTGTTTCCGCCCGATGCGTCAGGACTAAGATGTTTCTTGCCGTGTCGTGACATTACGAGTTGTGGCCCTGCTAAGGGCTAAAACTCGTAATGGTAGTAAGTAACTACTTACTCGAGTCATCAGTTGGACTCATCGCGTTCTTAAACCAACACTACTGAAGTTGCCAGACTGACATTACTCTTAGCTCCGTCGATGATTGCAGAATCTGTCCAACTGAAGAACTCTCAGGGAGCCTTTGGTCAATCGTGCTTCGTGTGTCTTGTTTCTGTGGTTGCCTTTTCTTCGTTTTTCGGGTCGGAGATTAGTGGCCCATGACCCGCAGCAGCTCGGAGCATGTGGACCGAAAGTTCGCGGTGCAGAACCCAACGTTCAATCCCCAGTTCTCCGTTTCAATCTGGATGAGCATCGTATACCGGCATGCGGTCTTGTGTCGCTACACTGCGCGCCGCACATTAAAGACCCTAGGCCAGCGGTCACTGAATCCTGGGAAAGTAGCGCCGAGATCCCCGCATTGTCGCAATTTTGGTTCATGGAAGGAACAGTTTTCATTTAACCTCTCCAGTCTTCGTTAGTTCATCAAAATTCGCAATGACAGGTTGCTTTACAATAATTTTTTTTTTGTATGGGGAAGTTTTTTTTTATTTGGAATCGATTACATTATCCACACTCCCGCGAAACAAGAGCACGTCTTCACACCGGCACTGCACGGGGCATCAATGCTTGTATATATATATATATATATATTGTCATGACATACGCAGGACGAATAATATCATTGTAAAATATTTGAGGAGGTAAGCCAGATTTGTTTGTTGGGTGCGTATGCAGTGCCAAAGACGCTGCTATTGGCGAGGATCGCTTTCAGCGCGTTCATGCAGCATCAAGATTTCCGTGCGGCTAGTTCAGAATGATTTCAAGGAAACTTCGAGTTATTGCATGCAACCGAGATGGCGATTGCCAACGCAACACACATGGTTTCCGAAATTTTTGTAGTCTGTATTTTAGTATCTGTCAACGTCCAGCTAGCAGTCAGCGGAGGCAATGACGCTACTTTTCGTAAATCCAATGAATTTCGAAATAACTAGCTTCCCGCGTTGTCTAAACATTGAAGGGTATGCACTTGGGCTAGTTGGTGATCCAAGTTTGTGAGGGTAAAAGCGCTAAAAACAATGGACGAGTGAAAGAAACGAACAACACAGCGCGCTTGTAAAAGAAACGAGCAACACAGAGCGCTGTGTTGTTCGTTTCTTTTACTCGTCCATTGTTTTTAGCGCTTTTACTTTCACAGTCTAAACATGGACAAGTATCACCCAGTGTGAGCATGACACCCCGCGTGAGCCCTGTGTGAGCTTGAGCGGGCTCAGCGAGTCCTCGTATACTGCAACGTTTCGGGGACCTTTTTCCGGCGTTTCGCAGGCGCTCTGCCGTACAAGGTGTACACGGCGGCGGCGGCGGCCGCTGCGGCAGCCCACGAGGGCGTGCTCACGGAGAAGCGGAAGCAGCGCCGCATCAGGACCACCTTCACGTCTGCGCAGCTGAAGGAGCTGGAGCGGGCCTTCCAGGAGACACACTACCCGGACATCTACACCCGGGAGGAGATCGCCATGAAGACCGACCTCACCGAGGCACGGGTCCAGGCGAGTGACCATTTCTGTATAGACCCTTTCGTGAAAGCGCCGCAAGGAGGCGCAGTTACCTTTTTTTGTGCCCCCGCTGACTTTCGGTGAAATGAAAGGACATGCGATTCTTACCATATATCACAGATCGTTGCAACGTTGATGAAATATTTCAAAACCAGTTGCAGAAGTGTTGTAAGCTGGGCGAGTTGGCTTGATGACATAGTGAACAGAACAGCGCACAGAAAGACAATGACAGAGAGAAGGAACATGCACAACGCACAAGCGCTTGTGTGTTGTGCATGTTCCCTCTCTATGTCCTTATCTTTCTGTGCGCTGTTCTTTTCACTATGTCATAACCAGTTCTTCAGGTGCTTAGCTAAAGCCACTGTCACACAGCTATTTTATCATTCAAAAGACAGTCTCCAGATATTGTTTGAAGCGAGTTTGTTTCTGGTATGGGTCCAGTCTCATAGGTTATGCAAAAGCAGGTTGCAGACATGTTTAAAGCATACATTAGGCATGCTACGAACATGCTCTCGACGTGTCCGCAGATATTATAATGCCTGCAGCGAACGAAGTGTCTTTTGTACCATCTATGAGCTGTGTAACTGCGGCTTAAAGGAGCGGCTTGCGAGAGTCAGAGATTTTTGAAACTCTTTTATTACGACCTATGGCCTAGATGTGCGCGTCGAACGTTATCTATGCAACGAACTACAATCTGCTGCAGCAGAACATCTGAACGAAAGACTGCGACAACAAACCAAAGCTCCACCCACTCAGAAAGGGTGTTTTGCCCTCTTGGGGGAAATTGCTGCCCAGTTTTATGGGCACAATCGATCTTAGAATTTTGATAAAACCCTTTAATTTCTTATATGTATATCGATATATGCGTGTATTCTTTGCAATGTCTTATTTTGTGATGCGAGAACAAAAACGCATTGTTACCGTTTTTGTTTTTTTAGCGGGACATCTTTTTGTTTTGATTTTTGGGACACTGCCGGTAAATGAAAAAGGGCGATCTCACCCACCTGTTTCGTCACGCCACCGCCGCCGCAATGCATCGTGGGAACTGTAGTTTTTCCGCACGTGCGACAACTCGCTGCGGGTCTGCTTTTTTTTTTTTTTTTTTTTTTTCGTGCGCTATTGGCTTCGGGTACTAAACGCAGCACTCTAAGAAGCACATTATGGCGCTCTGGTTAGATAAGAAACATCGCGGATAAGGTCAAATCAGTGCAAGATAGCTGTACTGATCGCGCCGTACAGTAAACGAGTTACTGCGTTTTCTTGGCGGGTTAGTCATTTCCGTTGCCTAGAATATCTTTGAACAAGCAACACTGTCCAATTCCTAAGAGGCCAAACTGACGATCACTACCCTGCATGGTGCCGATTGCTAGTCTTCTGACTTGTACTCCAAACCAACACAAAATGTCAAAACACCTTTTCAGTAAAAAAAAAAAAAAAGATTGTATGAGTGCGTTTAGTAAACATACAAGAATATTCGCGACTACAGCAAAACGGACGCCACCAAGCGGGAAAACAGGGACCCAGCCGGAACAGGTCGCTTTGCGCTTCTCCGCGTCTCTGGCGGCTTTCGCGGACGCGTGTTGTCGGCGCGGTGGGGAGCAATGCAATTGACGAAGGTACGAATATTTGTTAAGTTTTCCTGAGTGTTCATGAGTGTGGTGAAGCCTCAGTAGATTGTTTCCTTACATCACGTGTTTGAAAGCCCGTTTACTCCACAACAGGCGGTCGCGTGCTTTCGATTTCTTGGATGGGGTGGAATCACGAAAAAACGTTTTGATTTCTTGTCTGTTTCGATCGAATCACATCCAAGGTGACGACTACTTGGTAATTGATAAGTGTTCTTTTTTTATAAGGATGTGGAGCATTGGACTGAGGACGACAGACGGAGGTGTTTCACTGGAGGGAACACCAATGTTGCAGTGAAGTGAATGGGGAGGTTCGATAGCTGCTTTTCCTGAGTTTTGTTGTGTTCGATTAGCTTCAAGATTGAGCCACCCACGCCGGTTGGTGCGTTGTCTCATCTTGGATGCTTTTTCCTGAAAAAAACCTGTACTCTACACCAAAGGAGTTGGGCTGATTTCGCGATTACTTGATTCCAGAAAACCTGCTCGCTGCATACGATTAATGAGGGAAATTATCTGCTTTCATAAAGGTAGGGGACGCGTCTCACAAAGTTAGCAGCTGTCACGGCATTATGATCTATTGCGCCTCCAATATTTATATTATACCCCCGTCGAAGCCAGCAGCAATATACGTCTACATTGCCGGCCGCCAAAAATACTCAATTTCTCCGTTCAGGTTTCGAAGTCAAGTTCAATGCCAGAGAGGTTCTTCGTAAATCTCCGATAAAGACTCTCTTTAGTTTGTCTGAATTTGTCTCCATGCTGCCGGCTAGAACCATTAGCCTGAGTTTAAGTAATATCTCTCTCTGTCAAATATACTTTTATTCAGCAGTTCACCTAATAGCTAGTCAACTAAGCTCATATTTCAACCCGAAGAATATTCTAATATCGCTTTAGTGGGACATAGTGCGTCATATAATACATAACCCGTGTATTTGTCAAAATGATTTCTCGATTTCTACTAAAACCTGAATTGAAAAGACGACTGGAGCTGTTACGCACAAAAGCTCGATTTCGCGGACAGATAAGTCGCATGGTCGAGGCATGCGAGTTAGCTGGAAATTACTCTCGGTGGAACAATTCTGTATTCATCGCCGCTTTCCTTAGCTGATCAAAACTGATTAGAGTCTATTACCGTCTCTCCGGAGCCCATAGTTTCGGTTTTGAACGAAATTTCCGAAACAAAAGTTTGACATGAAAAGAACACGCAGCACCAGGAAAACAAAACTATGCTCTGCAAGTTTATGTGCACCGGCTACACTGAACCGTCGCAGTTCAAGTACCTATACAATAGGGCATAGAACAAAAGAAAATCTATTAAATTGAATGCACCACCCGTTCAGGCGACCTGGCCGAGCCGACGGGACCTGTCTCCAGCCGCCATGTTTGTCTGGTGGTGGCGCCCCCTATAGGTCGCTGGAATCGGAAACAGAAGGTCATCTAAAAACCCTTAAAACCTATATACGCCTTGTAGTATTCATATACGTTTTGACATTAATTAATTTATTTATTTAGTTAATTTTTATATCTCCTAACAGTACACAATCAGTGGTTGTACCCATGCCATCAAGGCCCAGCGTGGGGGTCCAATAACAAAAGAACGTATGTAGTATTGGACTATAAGTATACCACATAAAGTACACTGAACTAATCATATACAAAACTTTTATCCTTTAGATAGGGGTGCCTAACGTCAGACTAAGGTCGTACATTCGTTGAGCGCACATATACGCTGGGTAGTCATTCCCTGGATGCTGCCGTCTAGGGTGCCTTCATGTCCCGCAAAGCGAACATGAAGGCACTCTACTGCCGTCCAATCGCTGCGCGGCGTCAGTATGACGTCCGACAGAATTCTCCGATGTTTTTCTCCTAATGAGAGGGCCTCGTGTTTGTCTGTGGGCGTGTTGAATTAGGATGGCGATCTGGGGTGCACTTCTACTTTGTCCACGTCTTTTGCTCGCGCTATTTGCCCTTCTGTCAGGGTGTGTTGACTATGTCTCGGGCATAGTTAAGCCGCGGTCCCGCTGTTAATACATCTTACAAAAGACTGTCCGCGGTGTCTTTCTTCCTTGTGTGACGGCCCTGTCATGTACATTAGTCTTACAAAAGCTGTCCGCGGACGTGTAGGAAACAAACACGTTTCGGGCATTCTTGACGCGTGTTGGTAGATGTCATCATGTGTACGATTAGGATTCTGTGTTTTCGGAGTTTGCTTTTTCGTGTAATGCGGAACGTGTTTTTTTTTTTTTAGTTTATTTTTTGCCCAACATTCCGAGTTTTTGGGAGTTTATTTTTGCTAGACTTCCTATTTTCGGACATTTAGAGTTTAATTTTGCCGTGTTCCCAATTGCTCGAAATTCAATACAAAAATATTAAAAAAGTATTCGGACGTTAAAGTGCACTAATTAAGCTCACAAGCACTCGCTAGTATCAAACTATGTTTATCCGGTTGCACTCGGCGTTTGCGCCCTTGCCATTCGTTTGACTAAGGGCCGGTTGCACCAACGTCGCTTATCTTAACCCAAAGCGGCGCTTTCCTAAGCCGGCTTAGCGCCCTAAACCGAGCTTAGGTAAGCACGGGTTTAAATTCCGGTTGCACCAAGGTTAAGCCGGCTTTACAGACGCGCCCCTAGCTAAACGCTGGATTTGCGTAGGGAATCTAGGGACAAACAGAGCAAACTAGGGAACGCTCAGAGCGACGAATACGATTGGCGGAGAGGAATCACGTGATGTAAAAAAAAAAAAAAAAACTGCCGTAGTAGTTGTCGTCGGCGTCTGCTTTTGCCTGTATTTCTTCGGTGAGTAACAAATTAAAGGTCTCCAAATTCAATCATTTTTTCGTTTAACTTGCAATAACAGAAGTCAAAACTTCAAATAAACACGAATGCTCTTTACATCTGTGATTGTGTGTTTAATATCGGTTGATAACAGGATATTTTGACAGTGGTAGTAGTTTTCGTGCTCACATTTTGAGGCGAAGGAGCCATCGGGGGCCCCAAAACTCATCGAACGCGAGAAGGACACTCTACTCACTACATCGCTGAAGACAAAACATCATCGATATAAGTAGGCAGGTAAGATGGCTACTAAAACCAAGTCAAGCCTGAGACCGATGAAGTTCAAAACAGTGACGAACTCGCCACGGCAGCTGCGAAAATGCCCGGAAATCGTCGAATAGAAGTCGTCGAGAGGTCAGGTCACGCGACCTCGCATCGACGGTACTCGTTGCTATCAGCAAGGTGACAGAACTGCACTGTACCGTCGTTGAACATTCCCTGCAGCCTCAAACGGACTTCAGTTTCACACTGTCGAGATCAGAAAAAAAAAAAACTCCCACTAGTGCATCACATCGTGCCGATAAGAACGTTCGTC